AGAATAGAATAGAATAGAACTTTATTGATCCCCTTGGTGGAAACCTCAGGGAAATTGCTGAGGTTTGGTGGGTCAGTAATGGTGTGGGGAGGCACTTCTTTGGAGGGCCGCACAGCCCTCAATGGGCGAGCCAGAGGTACCCTGACTGCCATTAGGTACCAGGATGAGATCCTCAGACCCACTGTGGGACCATATGCAGGGTGCAGTGGGCCCTGGGTTCCTTCTGATGCATGACAATGCTTGGCCTCATGTGGCTGAAGTGTGTCAGCAGTTCCTGATTAGGAAGGCATTGATGCTATGGACTGGCCGGCCCGTTGCCCAGAACTGAATCCTACTGAGCACATCTGGGACATCATGTCTCGTTCCATCGTACTGTCACTTTGTAGGAAGTAAATCCACTTGGTCCAGAGGAGCCTGAGGATAATAAAGTGGGCTGGGTCCTGGCACCTAGACGCCCCTACTGTGCCAGGGACGACAATTCTCACCCAAACAATGAGGTGAGGACACAGACACTTCATAGTTCTTATGAACCAGCAGTTTTTACTTCATTGACGTAAGTTTTCCCTTCCAACAGTGAGGAGCCCTCACAGACTGAAGCCTAAGTCCATATGAAACGCTACCACCTGTTCAGAACACATCCTTGGAAAGAGTATGGAGCTCTTTAACAGCATATATGGCAATGCGTTTAATAGAAACACCTGTTATATCATTTTAAATTAGATGGTTTATTGTGTACAAACAGGGCTGCAAGGTGGCGCAGTTGGTAGCACTGTTGCCTGCAGCAACAAGGTTGCCGGTTCGCATCCTGGTAGGGGCACCGGAATCTTTCTGTGTGGGTTTGCATGTTCTCCCNTGACCCTAGTGAGGATTAAGGTGTAGAGATGATGGATGGATGAATTACTGATGACTTGCATTTGACTCTTAGTCAATAGTTATCTGCAGTCAGTAAAGTCTGACTGTGTGAGAATTCACAGTGACATGTTCATTGTGTAACGATCCAGTAATAAAACACAGAAGATGTATCGCCTCTTCAACCAGAGCTCTCATATGATTATTCCATTAAGAACAAAATGCATTTAGAGTTCAGAATCACATTTAACACGACGAACATGAACAGAGAGGTGAAATACTTTCAAGTCAGAGGAGGTATCAGAGCTACAGGGAAACACAAGCAGACGTGTTGTTATTAAAGAACATATATTTACTAGTTTCTACAGATCCCTCTCGAATTCTTACAGTAGTGTGTGTGTGAGGAGCTCATGACTGTAGTTCTCTTGTTTGACCGCTGGACGACTCTGATCTACTGCTACATGTCTCACTAGATGTTCAGAAGATTTTATACTGGAAAAAACAAACTAAAAACATTCTGTGCAGAGGACAGTGAACCAAATCCCTCATATTCATGGAGGAGAGTCCTCTGTCCTGTAGCGCCGCCTGCTGTTCAGATGACTGCATATAGTTGAATGAAAGGGCGAAGGTTATTCTATTTTACTATTTTACACTTATTGTGTTTGAGATGCAAATGATCCCTGACTGAAAGGCTGTTCTAAAGGATAACAATCAGTTTTGTTAGAAAAATACAAAATTATGTTTTTATTGTTAACTGAGGGCTGCAAGGTGGCTCGGTGGTTAGCGTCGTTGCCTCGCAG